ATCCGTAGAAGTACAGGCTAACATCCAACTCGTACGGACTCCACCAATTGTAAGGTAAATATCTAACCCTGCCTCTAAATATCGCATAGATCGGCACCATTAATGTGTTAAATGTAACGTAGCAGAATACGAAGCATCTCTGCAGCTTTCCTACATTGATGACACCCTGTAAATACGTTTTACCTCTTGCAAGAAGATATTCATGCCGTAGCAAGACGTGCCAGTTTTGAATGTTTTCTTTACAAGAAAAATCATCCTGGATTCCAAACATTTGGGATAAGATAAAATCTGTTTGTCTTTAGGAATCTTTTCGTCTCTTACTCTATTTTCGAGGTAAAATAAAAAAAAATGATAATACAAAGACGTTTTAGTTTCATCGATGCACAATACTTACTTATAGGTCCATTTACTTGCAATGCCATACTGGTGAGAAAGTGTTGTAATCACGAAAAATTTCGAAACTGAGATATTATGTTTTTTGAATGCTGTATGACATGTTTGTTCATTTATCTCAAAGATTGAAAGCGCATTTGTGATTACGAAAACTCTCTATTATCTGTTAGAGCGGTCCATAAGGCCTTTGCCAAAGTCAGACAAGTAAAGAAACAAAATCGGAAGTCACGCAGCAGTGTGTGATTTCGTTTGACTAGAGCAGATCAAATTTTAGCATCTTTGCCCATTACTCATAGTGACGATGTATTGGTAGACAACTAAGAAACTGATACCTGTAACTCGCTGTTCAGTATTTCCTTCTCTTCCTGATTGCACTTCGTCATGTTGCTCATCTTCAGAATATCTCCTATGTCTAACAAAAGCTGCCCTTTCCATAACAGACAAAACAACTTGAGAATGTATCCGATGTCAGTAACAAGAAACACCATCGGTTCAACGATATCAGCAACGTTGGACAAGTCTATGACCATGAACATAGTAACAGCTAGGAAAATGGCAGTTATCAGATGAATAATGAGTTTCCAGTTGCATATGGAAGTCCTTCGTGGAAATAGTCCCGACAGATCTAAGATAGCCCGTTCCATAGAGTATATGAACGTAAAGTCAAAATTCTGAAAGAAGCAAGAAAAAAATATGTATTAGAGTAACCTTTTTTTCACCAAAGCCCCGCAGGCAGGAGCTTAAAGAAGCTTTGTTAATCCTATTTTTGAGCTGCCTAAGGTTAGGAGAACTGGGAAAAACTCCTCATGTAGGGACCAGCGAGCGGTCGTATCGGCCGGATCCGTATGAAACCAAGTAACTAAAATCAATTGGACATTTTTTCTTCCAAAAGGGTTGGTTTTATTGACCGCCTTTCTTATTTATTTCGGTTAAATTTATAACGTTACGTACATCAAAAAAACGAAATATTCATACAGGGTATCCCAACCGTGCGAAAATGGAATACTGCTCAAAGAAAAAGTTTTCAAAGAAAACTATTTGTGGATTGTAAGATCTATCTGAAAGCCTATTTCTAAAATATTCACATTATACGGATGCCCAAGTTCATTACTCGTTTGGATGAGCCCTCTATAAAGATCAAGACTGATATAAACATACTTATGGATTTTGGTTATTAGTTGTTGAGTTAGTGAGTATTTCGTATAACAAAGGATAAGAGTTTCACAGCCTGCTTATCTGCTACGGTGAATTTTGTGTAAAAAATATGTTACTTTAATCAAATTAAACCTGATTCATCCATTTTCCTTATTTTTTGAATGATGGATACAGGATGGTCAAAAAGGCAAAATGTACTTTCTCGTAAAAAACTAAATGGAATATATTTTTGCACTATCAGATCCCAATTTTCACTTGCTTATTTCTACTATAACGTCTTTACTAGTTTGTTCGAACGGTTTCTGCGTTATAGCTATTTGATTGATGTTTCATTTCTAATAAGACGAATAATCCATCGAGGCAAAAAACAATTAAAGCATTATTGACCATACAGGGTTTGTCCGCAAAGTAATAGGACTGAATCGATTTAAAAATTTATTGAGCCAATCGTTACAGTTCTTTAAAAAAAATGTTTAAAAAGAGATATTCTATAAGATTTTCTGTAGTAGTAAAATTATATTTTTTCTATATTTACTTATAGGCATCATTTCCAGACATTTAAAAAAATTAATAAGTCCTTTGAGCTGGAAAAAAAAGGAATAAAACCAAACTAGTTACATTATGAAGAATTATTATATTTTGTTATCATCTTTATTGAATGGGAATTATGTTTCAAAAATCACATCGTCTAAATGCAATCCATTACGATCACGGCACTCATATAAACGACGTCTAAAATTGTCGATGACTGCGCGGCAAGTCAACACTGTAATGCTTGCCATTTCTCTTCGGATATTTTCTTTCAGGACATCAACTGATCGCGGAGTGGTGTCGTACACTTTACTCTTGAGGTAGCCCCATAAAAAGAAGTCCATTGGGGTCAAATCTGGACTACGTGGTGGCCAGAAAATGTCTCCTCTTCGAGAAATTACTTTGCTGGGAAAAAGTTGACAGACGACGGGCATAGAAGTGTTGGAGGTGTGGGCAGTTGCTTCGTCCTGTTGAAACCAGGTCTACGTATTATAGCCTGGAAAATTCTGCAACGCTGGTGTCAAAAACTCTTCTATCATTGCTACATACCGCTCCGAAGTAACAGTTAATGCGCGACCTCTGTCGTCCACAAAAAAATAAGGGCCTACGATGCCATGCGCTGACATAGCAGCCCAAACTGTAACTTTAGGGCTGTGTAAGGGCTTATGATGCTTACGCCTTGGATTTTCGGGGCTCCAATAATGGCAATTTTGTTTATTTACATGCCCGTTTAAATGGAAGTGAGCCTCGTCCGAGAACAACACATTATTGAGCGAAGAAAATCGATTCAACATTTCATTCGCAAAGTTTAGTCTCTGAATAGCGTCATTATCTTTTAATTCCTGCACTAACTGAATTTTGTAAGCGTGCAGACGTAAATCTTTCCTTAAAATCCGCTGTAAAGATGTTCTGGGTACGTTTAGTGCACTGGAACGCTTACGAGTAGACTGGGTAGGATTTTGACGAACAGACTGTGCCACAATGTTGACGTTTTCTTCAATACGAGTTGTCCTTGGTCGACCCCACCGCTGTTTATCTAACGTCGAACCAGTCTCTTCGAACTTAGCAACCCAGTTCTTAATCATTTGAGCTGTTGGACACTTTGTAAAATTGTGGTATTCTCGATATTTACGCCGCGCAATGGTTGCCGAATCATTATTTTGATAAAACGCGCGCACACAAAAAGCACGATCCGCTCCAGTGAAACACTCCATGGCGACTGAATTCCCAGACACTGAAGATACTGCCCCCACCTCGCCCGCGCCGCTCACGCTCACCCGTTAAATTTTATTCAAATTTGAAATTTCAAAGGACTTATGGACCACCCTGTATAATGGACATATTTTCAATAATCCTTGTTTTTTGTGTCCAAGGATGATGTGACTTATTAGAAAAGAAGTAGAAGAATCATTTTTTTTTTCTAACAACTAGCTATAACCCAGAAACTATTTGAACAAGCAACATTTTGAAACAATATTCACGACTCCACCTGTCAACAGAGCAGATATGCAGGTTGTCAAATTAGATGTTTTTTTTTTAAATAAAATGTCCTTTAATTCGACAACTGATAATCAAAACACATAAGTATGTCAAAGCAATCTTGTTTATTCAAAAGGGTCCATCCAAACGTGTAATAAAAAGTAAGGCATTCCATTTGAGAAAAATCAACTTTGATATGTGGGTCAAAATTGGGACAAGCAGTAGAATTGTGAAAATTATGTAAATATACATCCAGATATCGTATTTATAATAATCCATAAATAATTTTCCTTAAATGATTAGCAGCAATACTTCGACCTCGTACGGTGGGGACACTCTGTATAAGCTTTTGCTTCAGGATTACTCCAGAAACTACACCCCTAGATTTGGTCAGATACTCTATTAAACCTTCGCATACTCCACCTTTTTCATTTAAGTTGTTAAGTCTTGTCTGTGCCGATTAACACCGTTTGTTGTATCTAAACTATTGATTCCCAAAGTGGTCTATATCGACCCCTAGGGGTCTATGACAACCTGCAAGGGGTCTACGTCAGCGAAAAAAAATTTGGGGGTCCACGAAATGAATATGGGGGTCCACGACAGTGGATCTCAACACATACACTGATAGTACCAATTTACTTACATCATACTATTTTATAATATCAAAACATATACATTATTTATAAAAGTACCTACGAAGTTAAAAATGTATTATATATATTTATAAAATTGTGTAAGTTGTAGGATGTTGGTATTCGCTTTGTGGTCGCAATACATTTTGAACTTGTAAAAACCTGAGAGTCGCAATCTCAGAGCTTCGCTACCTTGCACTGACTTGTTCAATTCGTCACTCTATAAATACGAATGTGGGACAAATACGTTTATTCGTTTCCCGAATCTTGAAAAGGAAAGTGCTAAGAAAATATTTTAAAAAATATAAACAGATAGTATATCACGCAGATTATAATGAGTCAGTGTTATTTTGTTTGAGAGTGCTGGAGAAAAGTAAATATATTATTTTTTATTAAATTTTAGTTTTGTACTCGTAGTTACCAAAGGTAGATAAATTACGCCAATCATGACTTTAGTTATTAGTAGTTAAATATTCAATCATGCAAAATTACACGAGTACTCCTCAATAGTTTCTTTTTGAAAGTTTTAGCAATCGGTAATATAATTACAGTGCAATCTCCGTAATTCGAGCTAATTATTGCAAGAAGATGTTCGAATTATGGAGTGTTTTCGGAAAAATCAAAAAATATTTTAATATACAGCTGCTGGATTTTGTCTTATTTAAATAATTTTGCCACAGATGACTGATGCTATGTCCGAATCTAAAAAGAAATGTAGACAGTACAGTGTTGATTATTTGAAATTTGGCTTCATTCCATCATTGCCGGACAAACAATCGTCTTTGCAACAAAGTTTTGGGCAATGACGCTATGAAACCATCTAAACTGCAAGATCATCTGAGAAGATGCCACCCTGATAAAACAGAGAAAGATTTGAAATACTTTCAAACACTCAAAGATAAATTTCAGAAGAGACCTACACTGGACAGAATGTTCGCTTCGACGTCACAAAGAAATGATGATGGTTTGCAGGCATCTTACAATATCTCGTTACTTACAGCAAAATCCGGAAAACCGCATACTATCGGAGAGAAGTTAATTTTGCCAGCCGTTGAAGAGGTTTTAAAAACTGTTTTACACAAACCTGCATCTGATATCATTAACTGTTAACAATACTGTTGAAAGACGTATTGATGAAATGAGTTCTGATATTGAAAGCTTCTTATGTAATTATATGCAAACGACCCATTTCTCTATACAACTGGACGAGTCAACTTTACCTGATAATGCAGCATTATTATTGGCATATGTTCGTTTTATTATGAATCAAGAAATCTACGAAGAACTGCTCTTCGAAAGAACTTTGATAACCGACACTAAAGGTGAATCAATATTTCATGTTTTGAAGGATTGCTTCATTGAAAAAGCAATTCCTTTATCAAATATAATATCAGTAGCTACAGATGGAGCAACTGCCATGGTTGGACGTTATCGTTATAAGCTATTTAAAACAAAATGTGTCAGGGGTGTTAGCAATACATTGCGTCATCCATCGAAAACATTTACGCTGGCTGTCGAAAGGCTTATGTTTGACAAGATTTTTTGCACTTTTTGAGACTATTTTAGAATTTCTGGATACTAAAGGTAAAATTTTAAAAGAAAATTTAATGAAGAGGAAAACAGACATCGCCTATTTAACAGATTTGTTTACAAAATTTAATATGGTTAATTTGCAATTACAAGGCGACAGTTTAAATTTGATTAAAACAAAGTCCATCTTATCAGCGTTTCTTGCCAGAGTTAAACTAATGAAGCAAAATATTGGACGGGGCGAATTTTCTCAGTTCCCCAATTTGTCACAGACAAGCTGCCAGTAAGACGACGTTTCAACTTACGTTCAACATTTAAATGCCCTCTATTCAGATTTTGAATCTAGGTTTGAGGATATTTTGACTATGGTAATACCACCGTGGATAATTAATCCATATGGTGACATAGAAGAAACGAATGTCATAATACAAGAGGAACTGACTGAACTAAGTACAAACGAAGAACTTAAGGTTCAGTTTAAAAACGGATATCAGCAATTCTGGCTGCAGAACAACATACCCGTTACTTATCCCGTATTACGGGATATAGCGAGGAAATTTTTAATTTCCTTTCCATCGTCATACCTAGTGGAAAGGGGTTTCAGCGCTGTTACGAATCTCCTAACGAAAATAAGAAACAGACTGGACATCCTTATCCGAAGAGATTTAAGATTAATCCTTACAAAATTGACGCCAAATGTTGATAATTTATTATTAAAGTATCAGGTTCATCCTTCTCACTAAAAATATTGACTTATTGCTTATGTTTTTTTATTTATAGTTTATTTTATGTTTATTGGTGTCTGACCAATAAATGCCCGCATTGGAAATAAGTGCCCACATTGATTTTTTTAAAGAACCCCCCTTTATAGAAAATATTTTTTTTTAAATTATTCTGAAAATTCAAGGATAGGTACACACTAAAATTCGTTAATGTGTTGCCTATTTTTAGATAACTTAAACGTATAAGAAGCGGAATTTAATCAAACTAGCAGTGAAATTATTGTAGAACATACGTTTATGTTATAATTAATAAACAAACTCGCTTATTGTACTATTTTAAGTAAAAAACATTTTTTTATTATTTTTCACTTTTTTTTATTTTATCCCTCTTATTTTTTTTTCCAATGTGGGCACTTATTGGTCAGACACCTGTTTATTTAATGTTACGTATATTTTACATAACAGATACAAAATTTTATTTTGAGTAGTTTTAATTTAAATTCAATTAATAAATATATAAATTAACATGTGTTTTTACTTTTAGTTTTTAACACTAAACTTCACTACAGTTAGAAATTTACAGGAAATCAATATCAGGTAAGTAGGGGGTCTACCCAAACAAACATGGCAAGGGGTCTACGACATAAAAAAGTTTGGGGAACTCTGATTCTAAACAAAGGATAATTTGGTCCTTTTTGATGACAGTTGAAAACCGAGTTTTGGTCTTTAATAACTCCTGAAAGTTATAACTGACCCTTTCATTCATCTTTAATGTGAAGATACTGTTTGATTCAAAATAATATTCCATAACTACGTTTTGCAGTTATGGAATATTATTTAAGTATGACATCAAAATCTTTGCATTAAGTTATGTACTTTAAGAGTTAACCACTGACTATTTTTAAAAAAATGGGCATATGAAAGGGCTTAACGAAGATTACCGTCCTGCGTTCAGCAATAAATAAATCTATAATATATAATACATTTTATGGAGTTAAAATTTCTTGTTTGTACCTCAAAAAGCTAATGTGGGACCATATATGTTTTGAATGAAAAATGTAATAGTATACATTACCTCTTCCATAGTCACCTTGAAAAGCATATCAGGTTTTATAATGTGACATGAGCAGACGCTTAAATATATAAACAGAAACTCCTTTATCGAGGGTAAGGGCTGTATCGGGCCCACTTGATGTCGCTACAAGCAATATGTTTGATGTACAATGTGGTAGGTATAGCAGTAAAATGGAAAAATATGTATCTCACTGGAAGATTGTTTAAAGATACACGCTTTTTAGAAGATGTAACAAAAAGGATAACCTACGTTGATAAAAAATATCGACTAGGCGCATCTTTGGCGAATCCTATTTACTACAATCCCAAAAAGCCGAATTCGTAAGATCTCAGCACCTTCAAAAACCCTCGGACTCTAAGGACTACACCTATGTTAGAAAGTCATAAAACAACATTGTTTTTTATAGAATAATCAATATATAAAGACACTTTGGACATATCTGCGATAAGATCTTAAGCCTACCTATAATGTACGTGCATTTTTCTACGGTTAACAGATTTTGCTGTCATTAGGTACCTAGGCTTTCTTTTCACAATCTAGTCATAGTGCAACAATAGTAAAAAAGTAATTTTAACTATTTGGCTTAATTTAGCGGCCAGATAGTCATGGAGTCCTAGTCCAAACTCTTTGGAATGAGGAAATCATTTAACTCCATATACCTCGTTCATAGTAGGCTAGTTGAGGAAATTTGAATAATTGTTTAATGATATGCCTTAATATACTAAGTGACATATAAATCCGAACACCCAGTTTAAATGGTTTTATTTTAATAAAATTTTGTATAAGTACTTAATGAAGCATAATAAGTAAATGATAAAAATTTCAAAATGATTGCACTGTTTTAAAGCCCTTTGACCTTTAATAATGTGTGGATGCACCCTGATGTGCTACGCATTCTCCAACGCGCCTAGGCATGCTTCTGATCAGGTGGTCAATGTCCTCCTGTGGTATCTCATTACAGTCAACCACCAACTCCTCTCGAAGTGCTTCTATAGTCTGAGGAGGACGTTGCAAATTGAGCAATCTCCTACCCATCATATCCCACACGTGCTCAGTTGAGGCTAAGTCGGGAGATCTTGGTGGCCATGGTAACAATGTGACATCATTATGTTGAAAGAAGTCTATTGTGACTCTTGCAACATGTGGTCGGGCATTATCTTGTTGGAAAGTTGGATCTGCCAGGGTGTCAAGATAGGGTAAAAGATGGGGTTCTAGAACTTCGTGGATATAACGCTGCGCGTTCATGTTACCTCTGATGAAGATTAAAGGTGACCTGGAACCATAAGCTATAGCACCCCAAACCATAACTCCAACAGTGTGATGAACATGCCTTTCAACAAAAAACTGTGGATTTCTCCTTTCACCACGTCGCCTTCTAACCCTGGCACGACCATCGTGCATGCCTAAACAAAATCGAGACTCGTCACTAAAGACAATACTGTTCCATTCCTGATCCCAGAGTGACCGTTGTCTGCACCACTCAAGGCGATTACGTCGGTGTTCTCGAGTTAAAGGGAGGACCCAGTGTGGCCGGTATGAAAACAAGCCAAAACTTCTCATTCGTCGATAAACACTTCGCATGCCAACAGGTCTTCCGTGTTCTGCAAACCATTCATTTGCAATGGACCTGGTGGTGGAGAAACGGTCCCTTAAGGCCAATAATCTTAGGCGGCGATCTTCACGGTCTGTTGTTCTACGGCGGCGTCCAGTGCCCCTTGCTCTTTGCGTACGGCCTTCTCGAAACCATGCCTGACAACACCTAACCACAGTGTCTACACTTCTTTGCACTGTAACTGCAATTGCCCGAAAAGAAAGTCCAGCTTCCCGAAGTCCCACTATACGGCCCCTATCAAACTCACTAATCGTACAGGTCTCCGTACTCTAGGCATCGTAACCGAGCGTAAAGGATGTCAAGAACCAAAATCCGCCAACGTTGATTCTTTACTGCGGCTGAAATATTCACTTTTAGAGCGTTGGTGAATTAAAAAAAAAGCAGTATAAAAACCGGAATGTCCAACTGATAAGGCTGAACATTTTTTCATTTGTTATTTACAGTAAGATAAATACATTCACCAACTTTTATTAAAATAAAACCATTTAAACTGGGTGTTCGGATTTATATGTCACTTAGTATACCTATATAAGCCAAACAATTTTTTCTACTCAAAAAATCTAACTTTCACATAATGTATTTTACCTTTTCATAAATCAGTTAAAATATAGCCCAAAAACACTGTCATAGCGTCAAACTTCCCGTTGTGTACTCGTACAGGCAGTACTTGGTTTTGTTCGTTTTATTTAACAAAAATAAATAATTCGTATTATAAGTTCTGTATTGTACCCAACGAGAAAGCACAACTATAAAAACGTCAAACCAATTATTCATATATATTTCAAATAATGAAAAAACTCGGTGAAATTGGTTACAATTTGCAAGGAGAGCTGGTGCCTATAGTTTATTTACAGATTCAAAAACGTATTTTTGTGAAGATAATTTTGATGTAATTGTCTGTACAATCTATTTTTAAGTCTGCAATTAAGTGAATATACAGGGTGGCGCATCGAAAACGAAACAGACGCATTTACTGGCAGCACATTTTTTTTAGGAAAAACGCTCAGACCCGTCGATTTTGTTTTCGAGGGGGACACAAGTTTGGCAAAAAATCACGTTAACACGTGCAGCCCCCTGGGCGGTGGTGACACCAACCCTAAAATCTTCAATGGAAAGGGGGGTCGAGTGATACCTTATTTTAAAGGTCTTTCTATCGCCTTTATTATGATGTAAAATACATGAGCTTCAGTTTAGTAGTTTTGAAGATTTATTGATTTAAAGCTTAAAGTAGACTTTAATAGGTACATCAGATTAGTTTGTACTAATTTTAGAAGAAGTTTGACTAAAAGAATTTACTTAATAAGTAAATGCTTTTTTTCACTACGCCCATGGTTTGATTATCATTTTGTTGTTGAAAATAGCTATTGGAGCGTTTTTTTGTGGCAAAAAAGTTATTTCTTGAAGAAAGATAAGGAATTAGTACATAGTTTGCGATTGATTTGACCAAAATTTGTTGCTAAAATAACTTGTAACGCTTTATTACATAAATTAACCATGGTATATTCCACAGCAGAAAGAGTTGAAATTATCGAAATATTTTTCGGAAATAATCAGTGCGCTAATAGAACAGCAGAAATATTCAATGAGCGACATGATAACAGTAACGTGCATCGAAAATATGTTCTAGAACTTGTAGCTAAATTTCGGGAAACTGGGTCAGTCGCCAATAAAAAACGCAACATTGAAAATCCCATAAGGAATGAAGCAATTGGAGTGGGGGTTTTAGGGCAAGTTTATGTAGATTCTATGTTAAGTACCCGCAAATTGGAGTGTGTGTGTTGTTAGTCGACGTACTGTCCAACGGATTCTAAAGGCCCATAGTTTTCATCCGTATAAAGTTCACCTGGTACCAGAACTTAATGAAGACGATTTTCCAAGAATAAGGGCGTCGATTTTGGGTAAATTACTGCTGTTTGCATTGATGAATCCTGACTTCATAGCGAATTAAACTTGTTCTTCAAGATATATGCAAATCACTAGACAAAAACACCTAAAAAATAAAAATATACTTTGTCTAATCTCTCTGTATAAAAATGTCAATAAGATGTTCGACACAGCATGACGTAACACTTTCTGATTGGTGTTTCATGTCACGTGACTACATGCCTATTTCTTTTGCTTGTATTTTCTTAAAGTAACAATAATTTTTAGTTCTTATAATAAATCATATTGTTCTGTTATCTCCAAATCATTATTAATCGTTAGAAACTATCCTCCATCTAGTGGAGACAAGCATACTGTGACCAACTGCATGTATTATTTGTACGCTTGGCAATCTGCAAAAAATTCTATATCCATTAAATACGTCTGAGGTTGTCTAGTTTTTCAGCTCTTTTATCTCGAACCTGTATTACATTTCTAACCCTTATACATTTTGGATTTCCAAGGCACGAAAATTATGCTTCATAAAACGATGAAAAAGTCTAGATTTTTCACTTTATTTCACCTTTGTGGTTGGGGGCTTCAGTACCAGGTACCATGCCTTTGGGAAATCCAGCATATTCAAGTGGGGCCCTGTTTAGCAGAGGCTGAATCAATATTACTAATGTATCAAAGTTCAGCTTTTACCTAATTTGAGGGAAGCTTCTCTGTTGTGTAAGATAAGCGAAGTTGTGCTTGTAATTGCATTTTACTGCCTTTAATAATATAGCACACCTAGACAAGATTATAGGGGTCTGTAGGAGCTGATAGAATTTTTTAGTTTGCAAACAACTTAACTTACTGCTTTGTACAGGGCGAGTTTCATTTCATAGAGTTTAGTTACGTAACAAAAAACGAAGACTAATCCTTAAAAGTCGTTAAAGTCTCGTAACGGATACATTTGCACCAAAGCCAATTTTTGAACTTGAATTTGTGGAATTACAGGCCGTTCTAGCAAAGTTAAGTGTATCTCTGCCTCCCAGCTCCTTAACAATCTGGGGATCCAAAGTGTTTTCACAGCGGCATAGAACATGTGACAAAAAGCCTTCCTCTACCCCGCAGCTCTCCCACATGGGATCCTCTGCCACCCCCATGACATGCAGGTGGCGCTGTACTGATTGTAATTGAGATCATGATTTTGATTATGCACCTTTATATATATACTATAGATATCCTACCATTGTCAGATGGATCTTTTCTTGAAACGACTTTAAAGACTTGCAAAAATTAACAATTTTTAAGCTCAAATTGTCTTAGGTTAAATTATGATAGAAATAAATCACAAAGAATGTTTCTAAGTTGCAAAAAATTATGTTACACCTGCGATAACAATGAGTCAGCAGTTTATAAAAAGTTTTTCCAAAAGCGTCCCAACTTGTCAACCGAACTCTGAAACTCAAAAGATATTTGACACAAACAAGGCAGCTAAGATTTATGTAATTTACAATGATTCCCATGTTCCATGGCCAAAATTTACATACCAGCTGCACAAGAGGATATGATCCTGTACAAATATCGTGGAGAAGCCGTTGATAAAACCAAAGTGTTCACTATCTATTTTGAGAAACTTTAATATATGTATATATATATAATCAAAATCCCATTTACCCTAAAGGGTGTAGGGTTAAACAAATCATTACAAAACCTACTATTATTTTTTCATGAATTTTGTTTAAAGCAAGTTCCTTAGCTTCTCTCCAATCCGCTCCTCTTTTCATCAATATCTGTTCTATGGTATTATCCCATGTTCTTTGTGGCCTACTCCTTCTCCTTTTTCCTAGAACCTTACTCTCCCAAACTTGTTTTACCGGTATGTTGTCACCCATTCCTTGCAAATGTCCCCACCATCTCAGCTGACTCATTTCTATGTGTTCTAGTATAGATTCTGCCTCTAACTCCGTTCTTATAGTCTCGTTTCTTATTTTGTCCATTTTGGTTACTTCCTTTAACACGTTTCAAGTATTTCATTTCAACTGCCTGAAGTTTACTTTTTTGTTGTTGCGATAGAACCCAGGATTCGCATCCATATGTCAATATAGGTCTATATATTCTATTATACACTGTCATTTTTGTTTTCATTTACACATTGTTTTTGTTGATAAAACCTTTACTCATCGCATAGTGCAAGTTGTTTGCCTTTCCTATACTTTCAGAAATTTTTATTTCATTTCTGCCGTCAGGTTCCAATATAGCTGTCAGATATTTAAAGGAGTCCACCTGTTGTAATTTTACATTATCTATTCTTACGTCCATATTGAGTTTTCCATTTGACACAGCCATAACTTTAGTTTTAAGTTTATCTAGTTTCATACCATTATCTTCAAGTACTGTGTTCCAAATGTTCAAATTTTCCTGTACACTCCCAACACTACCAGTTGCCAACACCAAATCATCTGCAAATGCGCACTCTGATAATTCCACTTCTTGCAACTTCCTGTATCCAACAAAAATTGGTTTTGTTCTTTACCTGCATTGTCTTATCAGATCATCCATAAGTATACTAAGTGACATATAAATCCGAACACCCAGTTTAAATGGTTTTATTTTAATAAAATTTTGTATAAGTACTTAATGAAGCATAATAAGTAAATGATCAAAATTTCAAAATGATTGCACTGCTTTAAAGCCCTTTGACCTATAATAATATGTGGATGCACCCTGATGTGCTACGCATTCTCCAACGCGCCTAGGCATGCTTCTGATCAGGTGGTCAATGTCCTCCTGTGGTATCTCATTCCAGGCAACCACCAACTCCTCTCGAAGTGCTTCTAGAGTCTGAGGAGGACGTTGCAAATTGAGCAATCTCCTACCCATCATATCCCACACGTGCTCAATTGGGGATAAGTCGGGAGATCTTGGTGGCCATGGTAACAATGTAACATCATTATGTTGAAAGAAGTCTATTGTGACTCTTGCAACATGTGGTCGGGCATTATCTTGTTGGAAAGTTGGATCTGCCAGGGTGTCAAGATAGGGTAAAAGATGGGGTTCTAGAACTTCGTGGATATAACGCTGCGCGTTCATGTTACCTCTGATGAAGACTAAAGGTGACCTGGAACCATAAGCTATAGCACCCCAAACCATAACTCCAACCGTGTGATGAACATGTCTTTCAACAAAAAACTGTGGATTCCTCCTTTCACCACGTCGCCTTCTAACCCTGGCACGACCATCGTGCATGCCTAAACAAAATCGAGACTCGTCACTAAAGACAATACTGTTCCATTCCTGATCCCAGAGTGACCGTTGTCTGCACCACTCAAGGCGATTACGTCGGTGTTCTCGAGTTAAAGGGAGGACCCAGTGTGGCCGGTATGAAAATAAGCCAAAACTTCTCATTCGTCGGTAAACACTTCGCATGCCAATAGGTCTTCCGTGTTCTGCAAACCATTCATTTGCAATGGACCTGGTAGTGGAGAAACGGTCCCTTAAGGCCAATAATCTTAGGCGGCGATCTTCACGGTCTGTTGTTCTACGGCGGCGTCCAGTGCCCCTTGATCTTTGCGTACGGCCTTCTCGAAGCCATGCCTGACAACACCTAACCACAGTGTCTACACTTCTTTGCACTCTAACTGCAATTGCCCGAAAAGAAAGTCCAGCTTCCCGAAGTCCCACTATACGGCCCCTATCAAACTCACTAAGTTGACGAAATCGTACAGGTCTCCGTACTCTAGGCATCGTAACCGATCGTAAAGGATGTCAAGAACCAAAATCCGCCAACGTTGATTCTTTACTGCGGCTGAAATATTCATTTTTAGAGTGTTAGTGAATTAAAAAAAAGCAGTATAAAAACCGGAATGTCCAACTGATAAGGCTGAAAATTTTTTCACTTGTTATTTACAGTAAGATAAATACATTCACCAACTTTTATTAAAATAAAACCATTTAAACTGGGTGTTCGGGTTTATATGTCACTTCGTATAGTATTAAGGTATTAACAACATGCATTACTCCAGTTCACACAGATAAGAGATGCTTATACATCATGTAAGACTCCTCCATGCCTCAAAGTACTCAGAAACCTTTTTAGTTTCAGTGATTTTACACCACTGCTTTGTATGTGTAAATATTTATTAGTACAACCACATTATAATGTACATCTCACAATATTCTAGACAACTTGTTAGGTAGACCACCGATGGTAAATGATGTCGAATGCTGTTTATGTGACCAATGTGTCGGGACTAGATGAATTGGGTTGATTCTGCTCTGTACCCTTGAATCACTTTTTGTTGAGCCTCTGTAAAACTGCCATATATGAATAAGATGACCTGAGAATCTGTAAGAAAAAGTGCAACTTTGAAAACAAGTATGACATGAAAATAAACTGATACGTAAACTCATAAACGTTTTGTCCCTTGAATCTATTTTGGGCTAATAAACATGTAAGTTATACATATCTATACGTACACTTTGCAAAAGTTGATTATGGTTTTAGTTTACACTTGATTCCATACAGCGGTAGCACCCCCTTCATCTGTTTGGTTATGTTTTCTCACATTTTGTATAGTGCACGTTCCAGTGACGTTAATGATCAGAAGTCTCAATTAATGAGCAACTTTATTTCGTTTTTAGATTTAACTAATTTTAATAATATTCCAAATATAAATGGTCGAATACTGGATTTAATTTTAGGAAATATCGAAATAGAAGTCCTCAGAGATAACACCTTCTGTTAAAGAGGACGTTCATCATCCTGCACTGATCATGGAATTCATTACATCCGGATCTCCAACGAAATTCCCATTTGCTAATTCTCCACGGTTTAACTTTCGCAAAGCTAACTTTCCTGAAATATACACAGCCTTGCAAGACGTTAATTGGACGGAGGTGATCAGTGCAGTTAATGTTGATGTCGCTTGTACCGCCTTGTATTCAGTTATCAATAACATCTTTGAGGTCCATGTCCCTAAATGTAAAAATAAAATGTTTTCGTATCCCCCATGGTTCACACGTGAAATTATACTTAATATCAAGAAGAAGGACATAGCAAGAAGGAACTGGAAACGTGGCGGTACTAAGTTTTCTTATGATCAGTTCAGTAATTTCAGGAAGCTCATTAAGAACCAGATCAGTGTTACCTACTCCGCTTACGTCCAATCGGTTGAGGATGCCATTGTCAATGATCCTAGTAAATTCTGGTCATTTGCCCAGATCAAAAAACAGCGATCTAGAATCCCCTCAAGGATGACGCTTAACGGCAATGTCTACGATACGCCTCAGGATATAGTAGACAGTTTTGCTACCTTCTTTTCAACAGTTTTTATCCCGTCTGGTCTACTAGGGTCATCTCCTCCAACAAATAATTCTACCGATATCATTTCTTTAAAAAATATAAGTGAAGAAAACGTAATTAGGGCTTCGAAAAGATTAAAGAACAAAATGACGTCTGGATGTGATGGTATTCCAAGTTTTTTCGTTAAAGATTGCATTCATATACTAGCGAAACCGCTGGCTTCCATATTCAACCTAATTCTAAAACAAGAGACATATCCAAATATCTGGAAGACCTCTAAAATATGTCCTATTCACAAAAGTGGGGATATCTCTGATATTTCCAACAATTGCCAAATAGCAATCCTGTGCAATTTCAGCAAGTTGTTTGAGATCATCGCTTATGAAACGGTTTACTGCTCGGTCAGGGGTGAAGTCTCTATTAATCAGCATGGGTTTATGAGAGGCAGATCTACGGTCACCAACTTGGCTCTAATTACTCAGTACATTTCTGAAGTACTGGACGGTCAGGGACAAGTTGATGTCATCTACACAGATATTCAGAAGGGGTTTGATCAAGTTGATCATTATGCACTTCTGGATAAGCTTAAAACAGTGGGTATATCTGATGCAATGCTGTCGCTCATGAATTCATATTTGAGGGATAGAAGGTTATTTGTCGAATATGGTGGTATTAGGTCGAGTTACTATTGGGCCACGTCCGGGGTACCTCAAGGGTCAAATCTAGGTCCATTATTGTTTTTAATATTTATTAAGGACTTGTCTTTTGAACTGAAGTGTTTACATTTGTTTTTCGCTGATGACCTTAAAATCTGCACGTCAGTCAAGACAGTCGAGGATTGCGTCATGTTGCAAGATGACTTAGCTCTAATTTCGTCATGGTGTTCACGAAACTGTCTCAGTCTGAATGTTTCGAAATGTAAAGGTATGACTTATACAAGAAAGGTTAACTGTTTAATTTATGATAATTATAACATCAATGGTCAGGTTATAGACAGATGCACCTCTTATAGAGACCTTGGAGTCATTTTTGATACCAAGCTAACGTTTACTGAGCATATACTCAATATCCCGTCGGCTGCCACTCGACTACTTGGTTTCTGGAAGGGTTTCTCCAATGTTGATACATTAATGACTTTATTTTTTACTTTTGTCAGGAGCAAGTTGGAGTATGCGACTCTGATCTGGTCTCCTATATACCAAAATTCTGTCGTGATCCTTGAGGCCATTCAACGTAAAGCTTTAAAGTATTTTCACCTTATATGCACAGGTTCTTATCCAGAAAGAGGTTGTGACCATAATGCCCTATTAGAGTTTTTCAATTTGGATTCACTGTCAACAAGACGAAACATATTTGCCTTGTCGTTTTTGTATGGCCTCATTCACAAAAAAATTGACTGTCAAAATTTACTTGAAAAAATATGTTTCCGCGTTCCAAGGCTAGGGAGTCGACAATAAACGGCATTCTATTGTCAAGCTGGCCGTACAAATGTGATGACAAAATCGGCTATTAAACTCATATGCTGCGTCATGAACAGTGTTACTGAATCGTGTGATATTTACAGTGACAGTTGTGCATCGATTATTAACTGCTATAGATCATCCAATCTTATTTAGAATGTGTGATACTATATATTTAAGACCAAGAACCATGTCTCTTTAATTGTTATTGTTTTCAGCATTTCCTGTAATTGGGTTTCACAATAAATAAATAAATAAATATGAAAGTTAAAAGCAGAATACCTGCATGAGGTCATCAAATTAAAAGTTGAAGAAGAAGTAGTAACAGAACCAAGAGATGTCGCTGATAAATCCATGCAACATTCCAATACTTTAGGCTTATACAATGATGTCAAAGTGTGAAACACTAGTACCAATATAGGTAGAAATGTTCATTAATTTTATCTCAAACCTGCTGCAGCAAATGATATATTAGCTTTAATAATTAATCTTAAAAGCTACAACTCCATCAGTAATAATATGCTTCCCGACAAACTGAAAGTTTTCAAAATTAGACCTTGTTTAAGTCTGATAAGTTGGGAATATGTAATTTTAGACCGATTTCCCCTTTTAGAACATAGTCGAAAGTGTTTGAGTAATATGTCTTTCTGCAGCTCCTTTAACAGATTCACATTATTCAATAATAGTCAATCTGGATTTAGAAGAGTTCCACCAAAAATGTTATGCTTTGTTTTATAGACGATTTATACCTGAGGTAGAGGTGAGAAATGTATAGGAATTTTCCTTAATTTAAGTGAAGCGTTTGACTTAGTTGACCAAACTATTCTTCTAGATAAAAAGGATAGATGTGCCATTTGACTGGTTCCATAGCTGATGCAGGTCAGTGGTTCAGTAAGACTGGGCTCGGTTTAAACAATAAAAAAATCTGTTTTCCTAAGACTAAATTTTTCCAATATACCAATAGGTCCACAGTTTTTTCAATAAAATCCTTTGATAAAGCCTTAGAACAAGTTAAGACGAAAAAGTTTTTAGGCGTATATACGAGTATATCGCAGAATTGTAAATGGGATACGCATTTTGAGAAAGTTAGCCAGAAGATCGTCCAACTCTGCTTCTGCCTGTACCAGTTGAGTTTTATTTTGGATAAATCAATATTACTCATATCTTACCACACACATACGAGGGTGGTCCCAGAAGTACCCGACCCAACGAAGAAAACACAAAATTTTTGTAAAAAGATGTATTTATTTTTCAACATAATCTCCTAAGTTCGATACCCTTTTTATAATAAGAACTATCTTGCTCCTTAAAATAGCCATTAACTGCCGACATCACTTCTTCATCGTTGGACAATCTTTGACCACTGAGCCATTTTTTGAAGTTTGGAAACAGAAAATAATCCGAGGGTGCTAAGTCTAGTGAATAGGGCGCATGAGGTAGCAATTCAAACTTCAATTTGTTAATTTTGGCCATTGCAATAACGGATTTGTGACCTGGTGCATTGTCTTGATGAAACAACACCTTCTTCTTAACCAAATGCGGCCATTTTTGCTTGATTTCATCGCTCAAACGTTGCAATAAGTTCGCATAATACTTGCCGTTGATAGTTTTACCTTTTTCAAGATAGTCAATGAAAATTATCCCACGCGCATCCAAAAAAACCGACGCCATAGCCTTGCCTGCAGATGAAACAGTCTTCGCCTCCTTTGGAGCCGGTTGTCCCTTTTGAGTCCATTGTTCTGATTGTTCTTGCTGAGGATAGGTAAGCAAAGCAATTCAACTCACAGTGGTCTTCGGTTCAGAACAGTTTATTGAGTACTTGTACATGAATGTGTAGACACGCGACAGGTGTATACCGGGCTTCCGCGATCCGCGCGCGCGCGTTGGCTGCTGTTGTTCTTCAACTGCTTCCTACGTTTGACTCTTTACGACTGACTGCATTCCTAGTGCGGCGCGCGTGGACCGACGACTGGTATACTTTATCTGAAGTCACTTGAAACACTGTGAAATACCGGGTGCGTTTTATATATCTATATTTAACACGCTCTGTTGCTGCAAAAATCGCCAAATCAAAGGCAGTTTCACCGGTCCACGTGGAGTGAAGCACGCCTATGCGTGGACATAGCCAATGAGAAAGCGTGTATTTTAGAGCTCGGAACAAGTGCAGGTGGCTACTGAAAATTGAAACAGTTTAGCCAGTGCCGTGTAGCGGTGAATAGACGTGTTTTCTTTAGTCTGTCCGTGTTTTTTCATAGATTTTATTAGTTTGTGTGTTTTTGACTTTTGAATACTCAGTTTACTTGTTGATTTAATTGTTGTGTTGATTGTTCTTGTGTGTCCTAAATATGGCTCTTTGGAGACCTTGGGAAAATGCTCCAAGCCACGAGGAGATGGTTGATGAACCTGTGCAGGCAGAATTCTTTCATAAAGATTTAGAGGAACAGACCCAAAGAGTAATCCTAAATATGTATGATTGTCTGAAAAACGAAAATCCAGATTCCTCGCAAAATCAAATTTTAAACAGAATTTGCATCCTGACAAAAATCAATCGGTCTACCATTTATCGGGTTATAAAAAGGGGAG